TACCGTTTTGGCTCCCACAAAAAAGCTTTGGAACGCAATAAAACGATGGAACAACATTTGTCCGTGGAAAAAAAAAAAAAAAAAAACAGAAAAATATCGTTCAAATCACATCACACACAGCTTATGTGTTCTATGATATTATTTTATTTTTTGTTAATTTTTGTTGTTGTTAGAGTTTTGAAATAAAAATTATGTTCTATCAAGTAGAAGTTCTATTATGATATGAGAATGATATTATCGATCCATTATAAGAACGACAGATGTGTGTGCAATGTGACTACTAATTTAGTATTGAATATGTTACATCAAATGTCTCTGTTAATAAGAGATCAATCTCACTGATAGGAATCTCGTTAGATCATACGATAAATATCTCCAAAGAGATAGAATACTTCGTTGTTAGATATCTAACAAGTGACGAGATGCATTTTTATCTGTTAGTATACATGCATAAATATATTATATGGATCGTATTTATCGTTGCAAGTATAATCATCAAACGAACTGGAATAACTACTTTCATTTTGCCTAAGTGATAAATCAATTATTTTTTTCTCGATCGTATCAACATCAATAAAAACGTCTCCCGCGTTTACTTTAAAAAAAAAAAAACAAAAACAAAAATTATCCAAAGAATCGTTTGAACTTTCTATGATCATTTTGAAATCGAATCGATAATAGAATTATTATTAATACAGTATTTTATTTATCTTATCGTATTTCGTAGATAGTTTTCTTTCATTATCTTTTCATCGTTTTTCGTTGTTGTTCTTGTTCTTGTTGCTGTTGTTTTTCTCAACACTTAAAGTTCTATTAGCTGCATCCTAAAAATGTTGCGATAAAAATGCGAAAAGGTATTATTTTAATCTTCGAAACATTCTAATCTCACTTTTAAACAATCTCCACAATTATCTATACAAAAAAAATACCTATACAATTTTCCCCATATACTAAATTCATTAATAAATATTTGCTAAAATCAAAGTATATGTCTTTTAATTCGTACGATTTCTGAAGTGGCACGAAAAAACAACAAAACAATAAATTGTTAGCAGACACAAATAACTGGGAATTAAAGAAATAAAAAGAGAGAGAGAGAGAGAGAGAGAGAAATGGAAAGAGGAAGGGGGGAGGGGGAGGGGTGGAAAATGTGACAAGAGATAGAACATTATTAAGAAACAACCCCATAGAAAAAGAGGATGGATTAAGTGACAAGGAAGAAGAATAGAGAGATATAGGAAGTACCTTGTTTGTGTTCCCTTTTTCATCAGGCTTTATTGTCCGAATAGGGTGTGAGAAAATTAATCAAAGTTAAACAGTGCTAACTAGCGGACCCAGTGGGTTTAGTTAACCGTGTCGTGTTTATTACCATGAGGGAAATGTTCCATGAAGATAAACTCCAAATGATTTGTAACTTTGTCCCAACCCCCTCTCCTCCACCTCACCCTTCTCCACTATGAAAAACATTTCGACGATTATTCCTTACCTCCATCCCTGTATAATTCATTTTAATTGATATCTCAACAAAAAATAAATAAATAAATACTTACGTAATAATACAATAAATTACAATATATATATATATATGCATATGTGTGTATTATCGATATTAAAATCATAATTAATTTGTTCTAATATATCGTCAAAAAATTAATGAATAATATTTTTCATTAAATCGTTATTAATATATTATCTTCATTGTGTGATAAGAAAATGAATAATTTTTTAAGAGAGAGATATCAGGATAAGGGAAGATTTTGGAATTACTGCTATAGATGTGAGAAATAATAAAAACGATTACAAGTTAATTAGATGACTTGTTTTGTTTGACAAGTTTAAATTAATATTGTATTTGTGTTTTTTTTTTTTGTTTTTTTTTTTCAATCATTCATTAATTCATTCTCTCACATTCTTTCTTTCTTTTTTTCTCTCTCTCTCGTTCTATCCTTGCTTATCTCTATTTCTAATAAATAACAAGCAGTCTTACATATTATTACAATCGACTAGAGCGATAATTAACATTCTCACCCTAACACATTCGTAACTCTCTCCACACACTTTTCTTTATTTTTTTCTAATCATTATTTTTTTTTTTCTTTTCTTTTCTTTTCTTTTCTTTTCTTTTTTTTTTTT